TTCCTCTCCCATTTCCCCCCAGACGTCAGCCCTGTTGTTTTCTCCTTGGGATTGGTTGTCCTGCCTATCTTATATGGATAGACATGAGAAAAAAGAAGAAAAACAGGGGAAAGTCTATAAATAGCTCCAGGTCTGTCTGCTGGCCATTCTGATGGTTTCTAATCGCATCTAGTGAAGTGTCCACCAATTCCAAAGTCCATTTCCAGGATTCCTCAGGGAATTCATTGCTTTACTCCCCTTGCTACTTTGTTGCACTCCTTTGGTGTGAGGGGGGGCAGACCAGGAACAACACCCATACTGTGTCTCCAGTGTCTCCTTAGCACTGTGGGGCAGTGGGGGGGTGTCATGTCTCATGGTGGGGCCAGCCCCCCAGTCGGTCCTCTCTGTGCCTTGCCTGGTCAGAATAGGGATGTCATCCTCACGGGTGGGTGGGCCAGGATGTGGTCCATCTCTCTCCACCCCTCTTAGTTTGCTCCCATGTAGTCTGGGCAGACCGGCCACTTGCCCCATTTTTTAAAAAACTAAATTATGCTTTATTGTTTTCTTTTGTAGTTCTTAACTCACTAGGCATTCCACTGCACCACTGTTGATGTCATTCATCTATGATGTCATGAGGGTGTCGGCCATCAACATTGCAGCCCACAGACTGGGCAGTCCCCAGGATCTCTCTGAATAGTTCCAGGGTCTTCTCTGGCCAAAGATTGGTGTTGCATCTGCTGGGCTGTGCTGACGAGCTCATTGAAAGTGATGTCTCCACTGTTTAATGTGTTTCTGCTTCTTTCTGTGCCTGGGCGGGGCCTTGCGGGCTTTGATGATCAGGGCAGAGGCAGAAGGCACCACTTCAGTCTGGGCTTGTCTGTTCTGAATGGTCCATTTCACAGTAATCCTTAAGCCCTTCCAGTCACTGATGGCCTTGACAATGTCATCAGCCTTCTTTGGAGACACACCCAGGGGGGCCGCTCCTGGGGGCCAGCGCAGATGTGGCACCGACTTCCCCACCAGAGCACCTCAAGTACAAGACTTCCATCTCACTGGGGTCGAATTTGGGTGGCATGGTGGAGACGGCTAGTGTCGGATGAACCCAAACCTCCTCTGAGCCCAAAGCCGGAAGCTCTCCTTCTTTTTTGAGACGATAACTCTTTATGGGAGTACCCAGCCACGTCTTTCTCTTGTGGAACAGCTGGTAGGTAAGAATGGCTGGCCTCGTGGCTAGCAGGCGACCACATAACCGCTAGGTGCTCCTATCAGTCAAGTCTAGTCCCTGGGAAAACACATCGTGCTTGGTGGAGGGTCAAAAAGAGGGGAACCTTCTATGAGAAAGGTTGACCCAGTGGCCGCAACAATGGGCTCAAACCACAATCGTGAGGATGGCGGTGACTTTTCCCTGCCGTACAGAGGAGCACTGGCGCCTAACAGCGTTCAAGAGTAAGGGAGTGTCCTATCGAGCGTGCTTTGTGGGAAGATGCTCTGTCATGAACGGGGCCTGGGGAAAGTAACTATGACGAGGGAGCTTGTTGCATTGGTTCAAAGAGGGATGCTGGCTGCTCGGATGGTGGTGACAGAGGCAGAGATGTGGGGGAGAGTTTTGGGAGAGATGGAGCTGATGGACCCTGGGGATGAACTGAAAACGGAGAGGGAAGCCCACCTGGAACATAAAGCACACTACCCAGTTACTGGGTGCTGGGTACAGTTGCAACAAGAGTACTCTGTTGAGGGAGCAAGTAGAGGGCAAAGTCCTAGCCACACTCTTGCCACGCTGGAAGCCTGGTGTGGGGCTGGCTCCACACAGACAAGGGCCTTTTTCTACTGGTTACTCCCAAAAAGGTGGTATCTGATTACCAAGCTGTTGAGAAACTCATCAGGAGTCCTGCGAGGGCATGGAGGTGGTTCTTGCCCAGTTACCTCTGGAACGCAAGACTCCCAATGGCAGTCTCTGCCACGGCAACCACTGCACTTGGAATTACTACACCCAGCAGGCCAACAAAGAACAGCCACCGGAATGTGGAGCCAAACCCTTTGTAACTGCTCCATACGTGTTTAAGATAGCATCCGGGAAGAATACTTCTGGGGGAACCCTTGATTTCATGTGACATTCAAACCATCTGGGAGAAAACCATGAAGCATGAGATCGTGGCTGCTAGCCGCACATTGTGGAGCTCTGGTGGCAGGTCAGCAGTTCAACATCACCGGCTGCTCCTCAGGAGACAGAGCTCTCTACTCCCAGAGTCCCTGTCTCCAAAACCCACGTGGGCAGTTCGACCTGTCCCGCGGGGTCACCGAGAGTCAGCATCGCCGAGGTGGCCGTGAGTGATAACCATGCTATCTGGAGGTGATCCGGACGCCAGGGCATCAGACAAGGCAGCCAGGGCTTTGCGTTATCCCTTCAGCTGTGGGGGGCAAGTAGGCGCCCAGGAGGTGGCACTAGGAGAGAGCTCAGTACTGCACCAAGGGCAAGCCTGCAGCAGCGGGGGTGAGGCTCAGCAGAACAGCACCACACTCATTCCCACTTTCCCAGCAAAAGGAAAAATGTCCATTACCCCAGGGGCCCTTTTCTAATTCCGTCGGTCCTACAAGGCTGCCCACCTGCTCAAAATGAGGTTAACTCCTTCCACACGGAACAGGTGACTTCTGGCCCGCACTAACTCCACATTTGTCCTTCCCCCTCCCGCTCCCAGATGGCTACAATGTACAAAACTCCAGGAAGGAGGGCTCCACTCAAACCTATTTACATCTGACCACTCCCTTAGCATTATTTAGTGCTAGGATTCAAAAATCCCCATCAGGCCACCCAGATGAGAGGCACCGGCAGCATCCCCCTGAGCAGACCCCAGTCTGGGTGTGCAGAGATCTGTCCCCTCCCTTTAAAGTCTCACAGGTCTTGAACTTCACTTCCTGATGGCTAGTCCCGCCCCCTAGCTTGTCTCCTGGTTCACTTTTCTTCAGGACTCGTATACGTTTACCTCCCAAATGATTGTCATGCATTTTCCTAAAGAGGCATACAATTTCACCCAAAATTCAGGAAGACTAAACTTGGCAGCCAATTTGAACACTCCAGGCTATGTAAAGCAGGGCTGTCAAACTCAATTATAATGTGGGCCATTTGGTGCAACAGGCAAGATTCACGTGGGCCACATCACATTAGCAAATTTTGTTAAACTTATTTGAAATGAGGATTCAGGAATATGGAAAGGATAATTAAAACACTATATAATTGCTCTTAAACATTTTATTGAATGTATTTATAAAACTAAAATTTTTTACCCAAAACTTGCCAGCACTTTCCTACTAGTTTTCACTTACCTCTTATATTGTGACCGGAAAATATAACAAAGCAATAAAAACACAAACGTGATATGCAATCGTAATGGTTTCCCTCTAGAAACGTTCACTAGCACTGCTACTAGGTATGATTCATCACAGCACAACCCACAGTGCTTTGTAACCTTTTCGCTATTGGGATGTTAACATTACGTGCCACTGAGTGGCAGACATATCGCTTCCAAACGTTGCTGGAACTGAGTCAGCGCGTTTATCCACGTCCACAGGCCCCAAGTATATTCGTCTTCAGTAGTGAAAGGGTTAACGAGGGAATTGTGTATGGTATTGCCTTGATTTCCCCTAAGTGCTATTTTCTTCATACCAAGTTTTTCTATTTTCATTTTATTTCAGAGCATCGTGAGCTACAAAAAATTACCTGGGGGCTGCATGCGGCCGGCCAGTTTGACAACCCGATGTAAAGGAACACAACACTCAACATCTTACAAGATCAGCAGTTTATTTTTCACTGTAAAAAATGGAAGCATTTAAATCATTCTGGCTACTTTTGAAGTGGTTCCGGGTGCCGTTGGGTCAATCGAGTCCAACTTCCATGGGCCTCATGTGCCGCTGTCAAACTGCCCCATGGGGCTTTCTGGTGGAGGGAGTCTTCGTGGCAAGAAGGCCAAGTCTGTTTAGGAACTTGCCAACCCGTTTTCAGTGCACTGCATCACCGCCAAAGTGAAGGACGAGACCTAACCAAAACTCAAGCTCCTGCGAGTCACCAGGCAGGTTCAAACCACCATCCTTCTTCCAGTTAACAGCCAAGCATGCCTGTCTTTGGAGCTCAGGCCCACCACTTACCAGTTGGTCACACTGTGGTGCTTGTGTTGGGGTCACTGGGGTTTCAGACACGGGTAGGGCCATCTAAGGCGCAGCGCCTCCAGACTAAGAAGGAACAGGGTGCCCCCCTTCAGAAGAACTAGTCCCTGAAAACCTTCGAGACCGCATCGAAACATTGGCTCTTGTTTCCTTTAATTCTAGGGTGACACACTGCTCTGTCTACAGCAATACCTAAATACAGTTTTGAACTCAAGGCAGAATAGTGTGTAAGGCCAAGCTTGCCCTTTTTCCATTTGAAAACTTCACTATCCACACTGGTCACAAAACTGTGGTCCCCAATAAAATGATCTTTTAAATTAAAAAAAAAACTATGTGGTGTATAATGTTGACTTTCACAGACAGTCACATACCATGTCTATGTGTCTATTTATATAAATTTTGAGAAAGGGAGAAAATATGGTAAGGTTTTACTTTCCTGTTTCCTTAATTAACTATCCTGAACACTCGATATTTACATCGGCAGGGAGAAAGTACACGGACGTCGGTGAACATCCTACAAACTTACTGTATAATATTCAGATTCCTTGCTGACTGTACATATATCCCTTTCTGGACAAGATGGTTTTGTCCACTTTAGCTTCCAGATTTGTATGGGAGGATTTATCTTATGCACCCCTTAAACCAATACTTCATGACTTGGGAAGCCATTTACAGTATCACCGACGAGGAACGCCATCAGCGATGAGGACCCCTGGGGGGGGTAATTGTTTCTCTGTGTGTGTTGCTGCTTTGCCTGTTCAGCACACACCCCTTCCGTTCCCTAAGCATAAGAAATGAGCTCTTGGAAAAATAGCCAAAGATGGTTTTTGTTTTTTATCTCCAAAAGATCACCAAGCCAAACATCTGGCCATGTTTTTATTTACTACATATACTATAAACATATACATGCTACAAAAAACATTTTTTAAAAATTTAACTGTCAAGAAAGTGTATAGTGTTATAATACAATGGCACATGTTCATATTTTATTTCAAATTGGTTTATCACCCACTTCAAACCATTAATAGTGAACTGTTACTTGAGGATAATTAAAAATTATCTATATGCATTTATTAACAATAAACAATTCCAACAAATTAATAAGAATTAACCATGTCAAATATTAGTATCCAAAAAACAGGCTTTTGCGGAAACGGTTATATAAAATATAGCAGCCAATTTCAGTTTACTTTGCTCTGTGGCAATGTACATATGCACTTGAATAGGATTCTAGTATTTGCTCTTGGAAGATACTTGTAAGTCCTTGTATTTCTTGAGGTCCAACAACTGTCACATAGCCAAATCCAATCCAACGGCTCTGGACAACCGATCAGAAAGGGCTTCTGATGAATTGGCTAGAGTTGTTTGCTCCATTCCACTAGTACGCAGAGGATGAAACCAGCCATCACAAGCCAATAACAAAGTCAAAGCCAAGAGAAAATACAAACATTCAAATCAGTGTGACAAGGTTTTTCTACGAATGTTTCAGATGGCACACTTTCAGGAAAACATGATTTAAAGTGTATTTGGGTTGTAGAACATCTCTGTTCTCACATTAACAGAGCAATTCAGGTGGGATGAAGTCTTGTGTCACAATTCATTCATCATTGAGCACCCACTGTGTGCACAGCACTTGGTTAACATTTTTAAAGTTGAGTAGCGATGTCTCCATCAAACATTACCTTAGTGTGAGGTAAAAATGTATTAAATTGGCGTCAACTCATTAGTTTGCTTGTGGCAATTGATGGGATCCTGTGCCAGCTGATGGCTTCTGCACACGCACGCACACACCCCCTCACCCACTTACACAAACATCTGCACACTGACTGCATGCCAGGCACTGTGCCAGTCACCGAGACACCATGCTTTGGTACGTGTTCAAAGAATGCAAAATGAGCATATTCACCTAAGCAAAACAACGACAAAGGAACATTATTCTTCTAAAACAAGGACCAAAGCAAAGTCTGTGTCTTGTGGTCCTACCATACCACTGAGTGCCTTTCTACACGGGGCCTGGCCTGGAGCGGTTTACACGGCAGTCTACAGAGCCCGCCACCTCTTTTTGTTTCTTGTTTTTTGGTCTCAAAAGTCTATTATTCTTTGGAGCACCTGACCCCATATGAACCATTCCACACTTAGGGTTTGTAAACTCAGCTTGAACAGAAAGAAAACAGCCAAAAAACTTATGGCAGTTATGTTAATGCACTTCAAGCACTATTCTGGGCATGAAAAATGAGTAATACGTCAGTAATTCATGATTGATTCCGACACTTTTCAAAGCATTCGTCCTACCCTCCACACTCACGTAATGTTAACTTGACGTTTATACAAGTTGTACATAAAGCAGAGGGCAGAATTTGGCCCCAAAACCTTCCACGGACTATTCTGATTGGTCCTCCCACTCCACATGAAATCTAAGCATTCCAAGAGTCCCTTATTAGGATACTGGCACTCGGAAGAAAAGGCTCTGCAGGTCCTGTCGGCCAGGAGTCTGTGTGACTTCCGGAGCAGCAGGAACCGACTCTGCCCGGGGAGGCAGAGAGCTGGGCATTCGGCTGTCTACTTAGTGAATCCAACCCTGGCTTAAAGCTATGCACTGAGTAAAGTGCTCCGTGTATCCTGCTCCTCCTCTGGAATAAAAATAGACACTTCTATCTTAAGAGTTCACTGACTTGTAGTATGTGGGGAAAAAGAAAGTCATGGGTTAAAAGGATCCCAAGAAAACGTATGAAGCATTGACCAGGAAGGAAGACAAATGCCTCTAGTAGTGTCCTCAGTTCTCAGGGTCTGAAATGTCAGCATGAGTCGCACAACAGGCATGTTCTATAAATGAAAAAGCAATCCCATCGGGTCCTAGTCACGGGGTGCACGATTACTTCGCGGGGGTGGAAAGGAACAGTCTATTGCCATTTGATACCTGGTTTCAGAATGAAAAAAACCACTTGGGTCAATCAGGCAAGCAGTGTGTCGCACACTCATCTCCTGCCACCAGTGTTCCACAGGCAGGGGTGCATGGCTTGCCAGGGGGTGGTCCCTTCTGAGCCGCAAAGGTCCAGCCACTACCGCCTCGACTGCAACGCAGAAGCGAACACCCGGCCTTCCAGCGTCGTGCCCTGAACGTGGTGCAATGACTAGGACTGAAGTAGTTCACTCTAAAAAGGATCGCAGGTAACAGAATGCCTGCATAAACTACACTGCTCTTGTTTGACTGCTGTAAGAAAACCGTATAGAGGGCAGTTGGGGAGGGGAAAAAAAAGATTGTTCCCATATGTCAGCAGAACTGTTTTGTTGAGCTATACTCAGCTGAAGTCCTCATCGGGATTCTGTTGATCCAGCAGACGGACATGTGTGAATGGGAAGTGACCTCGTTTGCCATTACACTCCCCTTCCCACTGACCACTCACATTAATCTTCGTGACCTTTACCAGCTCACCGACCTGCAGGAGGAGAATAAGGAGAGTGCTTTATTTCCAGTTCAAAATGCAAGCTGAGTAACTCCATCCTCTGGTTACGCAGACCCTGCCCATGTGATTACTCTAGGGCTGACACACAGAAAAGACTAGTCGTGCCTCCCCAGCCCCACCACCACATTGGTTACTTGGGGTTAATGCAGGCAGAAGACGTGATCTTAGCAGTGCAGAAAAACAGGACAGACAGCAGAAAGGGTCCTAGAAACCGACACCTCTGTGGAAATCTCAAGTGTTTCTGACTGAACAACCTCAGCCAGAGTAAAGCAGTGTTCTTTTGCTCTGTACCCACCACCCTCTACTACCTGTCTGGACCCCAGGCCTGGCCTGGGGGAGGCCCCCCTCACTGGCATGCAATCCCCCAGCCAACCTTGGAACATGCACTGTCCCAGACTCCACACAGCTCCTTCAACGCCACTGGGCACTGTTAATTACCCGGGGTGCACAAAGATAGCTCCCACGCTCTTGCTCCTGTTCATGACAAGCCTCCTACTGCAACGTCAGATATAAATGTCTGACAACACGGAAGACTTAAGACAAGCTACACTGCTGTGACACTTGACAGCAGTCGGTTTATGGCAAAATACAGAGCACAGTGAGACAGGGCCCCAGACATAACGGGACCAGAGCCTTTTCTGACCCCCTTTAACGATCAACATTTGAGTTCTGAGCACCCAGGTGTTTTTGAAGCACAACTGTTAATTTTGTTTCATTAAATTAATAAATAACATTTACTGCACTGTTCTATAGTACTGTAGAGAATGCTATGTAAATTATTTTCTAATTCTCTAACTAGCCCTGCAAGCCAGGAATTGTTCCCACTTTATAGATGAGAAAATAGAAGTTCAGAATGATTATAGCCAGAAATTCAAGCCGGACTCAGGAGAGGTATTGGAATGAGGGAAAATTGGTGCTGATAGATGAATCTTGGTTGAAATCAGAGAATACCAGGAATGTGTTTATCTGTGTTCTATTGACTATGCAAAGACATCTGACTGTAAATCATGACAAATTATAGATGATGTTGCAAAGAATGGGAATTCCAGAACATTGAATTGTGCTCATGCAGAACCTGTACACAGAACACAGCATGTTTCAATCAGGAAAGGTCTGTGTTCTGCCACATTCACTCCAAGCAGCTGCTTTAGCAGATGGTGTGAGGAGCTGGACGACGCGGAGGAGGAGGCATCAGCATGGAGGAAGACTGTGTACTAACTTCGCAGAGGACACACCTCACTCTCTGAAAGCAGTTCCTGATGACGATCAAGACACGGCCTTCCGTAGGGACTGCACCTCACCATCGAGAAAACAAAGCCCTCACCACTGGACCAGCAAGCAACATCACGATAAGTGGCAAACACAGTTGTCCACGATTTCATGTTGCTTGGATCGATAATCAATGCCCACAGAAAAAGCATTTAAGACGCTGTACACCACATGGGGCAAAGCTGCTGTACAAAGGCCTCTGACGAGCCTAGGGAGCCAGCACCATGTCTCAGGGGGCACCGAGGCCAACTGGTACTACATAGTCCACAGAGACTGTTCTACAGCCGTGGGGAATAGCAACTGAGGCCTTAAAACCTGAGCGACACTGAAGGTGCAACTACAGGTGTCTCTCTCCCAGTCTAGAGGATGTACGGACGGATGAAGAAAGGCAAAGTTCTCCTGGAACAAATGCCCTCACCATGGCACCACCTGAGCCAGAAGAACTACTTCGACCCAGAGAAGGTGGTAAGTGGCTCCGGCCTCAGTTACATACAAGTTAAGCACCACCACAAGGCCTTGAGACAACAACGTCAGTTCACACAAACAAACAAGACAGAGAGGCTCAAACAAATGACCAACATTCGGTCAGAAGACCTTTCTGTAGAAGCAAAGCATTGACTCTCTCATAAAGAATTCAAGAGAATGGTTTTAGACCCCTCCAACAGAACGCCAAAACAGATCAACACAAACAAGGAGAACCCAGAGAAACCTTTTAGAAGAATTCAGGAAAATGCTACTAAGAGCTGACAAAATAAGTGAAAAATTATCAACCACATAAAAACAGCAACTAGAAAAGTCAAAGAGTAATATTTCAGAAACAGATAATGTATTGAAAAAGCAAAGGAGTAGCATCTAATCAGTGGTAGGCTTGAAGACAAACCTCAATACTGATTTGATACAGAAACCAAAACTAAAGCCAAACAGAACACACAGAACTCTGCAGAGCACATCCTGGCCCACCAAGCCTTGAGGACGACATGCCTGCTCAGAGCAGCCATCCACAGAGAAGACCAAAGGCCAGCCCCACCATGGGACACGTCATCCCTCCCTGACCCACAGCCTACAGGGACAACGCTGGAGACAGTGTGGGATCTGACCCCACCACACTGAGGCAAAACACTAAGGGTGTGCAACAGAACAGCAAGGGGAACAGAGCAACGAAGTCCTCAGGGAATACCAAAGATAGCCTTTGGGGCCAGGGTGTAGCACCCCTCAGACTCGACCAGAAAACACTGCTAAAGGCCAACAAACAGTCCTTGAACTATTCACAGGCTTTTCTTTTTCTTGTTATTGGTTTTGCTCTGTCCCGTTTTTGTGCATGGTATTATCTCCACAGGTCTGTCTAAATAAAATAGGCTGGATGAACAATCTGGAGGAGAAAACATTGGGACCGACAGTTCCGGGGGACATGGGAGAGGAAGGAAGTGGTCTTAACAAACCCAGGGAAAAGGGAACAACATGTGATCCAAATCGGTGGCGAGGAGGGTGTAGGTGTACATTACCAAGTGTAATGTAACTGAGAGGAATTACT